GGTGGGAGGTGGGTGACAAAGATGACAGAAGGCTCTGTCCTCTGTGGATCGCCATCGGGGTGTCTGCCCTGGAGCTGCCTGACCGACGAGAAACCTTTTCAGGGCGTCTGGGGTCAGCTCAGAAGATGGCAGCTCCAGTCACCCCTCCCCTCATGCTCCCTGACCCCTGCGCCCCCCATCGGCACCCAGTCTGGCCTCCATGGCCGTCAACACTGATCACGAGCCCTGCGACAGGCCCTAAGGTGACAGAGCCCCCCATGAGCACCTCTCTCTTCCCGGGTCCTGGTGGGGGCAGCCCTGGAGGGGGACAGAGAGGCCATGGGACGCTGTCTGGAGGAGGACTTCAGAGGGAGGGGCTGAGGGGTCTTCCCTACGCCTTTTCAGTTCGGGGATCTGATTTGTGTGTCCTGTGGTTGGCAGGCTGTCCCTTTCCTGACTGACCTATTGCCGTGATGTGGCCATAAGCACTGGTGAAACAGGTGTCCCCCTCCCTCCCCCACAGCTCCGGGCAGCTCCATGAGCACAGCTGGCCTGAGCCAGCTTTGATCTTTTAGTACCTGTGTTTGGGATTTCTAACATCTCCCCAAAATCTGATAGGTGCAAGTACAAACTGATAAGGGTGGCTGTGTGGTCAGCCAAGCTTCCTTTGAGGGTACTTGGGTTCAGAGGGGTGGAGCCATTGTTCCTGGGCCCCATGCCGGCCAAGGCCAGACAGAACCCCCTGAGCAACAGTGGCCACCTTCACCTCAACTCCTGTTTCCCGTCAGAAGGTCTGTGTCCTGCTCTTTTCAATTCTTCTGTGGTCTGACCTCAGATGCATTTTAACTACACCGGGGGGCTTTGCACATGTCCCTCAGCATTCAGACCCAGTCATGGGGTGATTTTAAACCCACTACGAGCCTCCCGTGGGGCACCAGGGTACGAATGCAGGTGCCAGAGGCTGACTGCAGCCCCAGTCCTGTCCTACAACCTGTCCCCATGGTGATGGCCCAGGCCCCGCATCCTTTCTGGGATCATCATTAACATACAGGAGTCCGTCTCCCCCATGTCCAGTGTGGAGCATCCTCACGTCCACAGGCAGCACATCCCACTCTCCCGGCCCGCTCGATCCCACGGCCTGGTGTGCACCCCAGGCAGGGCACATCAGTAACACGGGTCCCGTGAGAAGAGCCTGACACGGCCACACGGCAGAGGCCACAGCGCCACAGATGGCAGATCTGCGTGAGAATGCACATTGGCTGGGGCAAGGCAGGGCCTGACCTTCCCCAGCCCCGGAACCCCTCCTGCCCATGGCTACCGCTCACATCCATTCCAGCAGAGCCCCTGCCTTGGCTGGCTTACCCCTTGTCCCCTGCCCACTGCCAAGCATGGCCAGGCCTTCTGTCATGTAGGTCAGCAGGTGTCAGTGGTGGTGGAGAGGATGGCGCCCCGGCCCCCATGCTGTCCCTCACTGGACCTTCCCGTTGTGCCCTGAGGTCATCGGCTGCAGCCAAGGTCAGAGGTAGATCTGGTTTTCTCCTCGGCTCCCGGGACTCAGGACCCACCAGCATTCCTAAGTGCCCGTGACTCTGCCAGCCCAGGGAGGCACTGCCATGAGGGCAAAGCCTAGTGGGCTTGAGACCCTCACCAAGGCCCTACCGAAGCTGGGCTGGGGATGCCCTGGAGATGAGGGGGAACGGAGCCTGCATGTCCTTGGGCTCAAGGTTTACGTGATGAGGGGTGGAAATTGGGACACTCCCCCGCCACTGCCTCCCGTCCGGTGATGATGGGAGGGACAGAGAGGAGGAGCTGGGCCGAGGGCCTGGCCAGCAGCACAGGGCTGTGCAGGGCCGGGCGGCGCTGGCTGGGGAGCTGGGGAGGGCGGCCCACAGTACTGCCGGCCTCCAGGCCAATGCCGGACAGCATGTTCCTGAAGCTGTCTCTGCTCCTGGGGCTTCTTGCTCTGGGGCCTCATGTGGGCAGCTGCAAGTTTGAGGACATCAGTAAGAGTACGCAAAACTTCCGCTTGTGTGTGGAGTTTGCTGTGTTTCACTTCAATGAACACGAGCCAGATGAGTACGCTTACAAGCTGCTTTGGGTGGGGCGGAGCCAGCGCAAGGTGAGGGGATGGGAGTGGAGGATGGGGGTGGGAGATGGGGGATGGGGGAGGGGGGGGAGGGGGGATGGGGGTGGGAGTGGGGGGTGGGGGTGGGGAGTGGGGGCCAGGGGGTGAGGGAGGCTCCCTGTCTGCGGCTCCACCTTCTTCCTGAAGCTGGGCCCGGGGTCGGGGGAAGGGGCCGTCCGCTGTCTGCAGGAAAAGGTAAGGGATGTTTCATTTGGTCAAGGATATTTAAAAATACAAGGTACCAAAATAGAAGGGCTCCAAGTTTCTGATGTGTTAGCTTAGCACTTGGAACAGGGAGAGAAGGAGAGGGAGGCAGAGGGCAGGTGAGGAGGGAGACAGACGGAGCGGAGGCGGCGCCCCGACATCAAAGCCCAGGAAGGGCCGGCAGTGCAGAGCGGAGCCGATAGCAGGCCTCAGCTGCCAGGATCACTGCCTGGATGCTGGGCTGAGGCCCCTCGTGAAGTGAGTCGGCCTTGACCACGTGGCCGCCGTGGGTCAGGCCTGGCCAGAGGCAGCAGAGGCAGACAGGGCGTGACCTCGTGGGGCTGTTACACTGGTGGTGAGAAGCACACAGGCCCTAAGTTTTCAGGTGAGATAGTGGAAGACCTGGACAAGAGCGGTCAGTGTAGGACCGCAGGGCTGAGGGGTGGGGAAGCGCTCTTCATGACGGGCACTCCTGGAAGGACCCGGCCAAGTGCAGGTTTGGGAACAAGAAGGGCGGGCAGCCCCGGAGAGGGTCCTGGACCAGGGTGAGCTGCCAGTGCCCGGCGGGGCCAGCCTGAGGGCTGTGGGCCAGTGTCTCAGGGAAGGAGGTTCAGAGAGGTGGGCGTGCAGGGTGGGTGTGTGCCAGGGCTGGGTCAGGATGTTATCCTCAGAGGAGCAGGGACTTGTGGAAGGAGGTTGCTCAGCTTTGTCCAGCATCTCTCTGGACCCTGTGGGGGCAGTGAGCTCCACAGCTTGGGGGCAAGTTGAGACCAGGGTGCAGGAGCTGGGCCCTGGATGCCAGGAGGCAGAGGAAAACCGGCTTCTGAGTCGGCTTGGAGGTTGACGTGGCATGTAGTGGGGCGGGGATCAGGCACAGACCCCAGGTCTTTGTCCTGAGCAGGTGGGCAGACAGCAGAGTGAGGGGCGGGGGAGACAGGAAGATGGCCGGGCCGAGTCCGTCACAGTCAGTGTTCCCGAGGCAGTTCTGGGAAAGAAGGCCATGGGTTACAGAGCATCAGGGTGGGGAAGAGGGGGGACCTGATGGGAGTGTGGGTGCCCTTAGCACCTGGCTGTGCAGCGCTTTCCCACCGATGCTTATACCTCCCCCGCCCCAGATACTTTGTCTGGATTAGTTGTTGTCCAACAGTCTTGAGCCCAGACCCATTATTGGCCCCGGATGGCTAGCCCCAAGGTGGCCCGGGTCAGCGGGGCTCTGATGTGAAGGTCCCCCGCTGCACACACTCCTGATCGGACTGGAGGCTGGCCCCCTCCCTGCGCAGACGGCCCTGGCTTTCCTCAAGGGCCCTCATTTGCTGACCGGCTGGCCCTTCGCTGGGCTGTGCCCAGCCCTGGACCTGTGGAGGCTGAGGGCCCCTCGAGCATCACTGTGGACTGAGCTGCCACCCCCCGCCCCCCACTCCCCTAAGCCTATCCTCGCCCAGGGTCCAGCGGCAGTGCAAGGGGCTGGGCGTGTGTGTGTGTGTGTGTGTGTGTGTGTGTGTGTGTGGCTGGTGGCATCAACTGCAGGCATTCCTGAGCCCCTAAGGAAGCCAGCTTTCTAGACAATTCCAGGTCAGGGCCGTACTCCTCCCTATGGAAGATTCCGGTTACATTCCTCTCCGTGTTGGAGTTCTTCCGAGTTTTCACGACCTCTCTGAGGGGATGAAATCCTATCTGTGTTAACCCCGAGGCACAGGGCATCTCTGAGGGTGGCTCGGGGACAAGCACCCCCATCCGCCTCCCTAGAAGGAGCTGTGCGATGCCCTCCGTGTGTCTGGAGGATTGAGAGCTGGGTTTCATGTCAGGTGTGCTGTGCGTGTGCTCTCAGCGCTGGGGCCCTACCTCCCTCCCGTGACCAACCCCCCCCCCCCACCGCCATGTACTCATGACACGGCTCCTGGGTACCAGTTATCAGGAGGGTGGCAGGGAAGAATCCAGGGCTGGAGCTGCACCGAGGGACATCTTTTCGTAGGAAGAGTAGAGAATTAAAATGAAAAAGTAAAATAATACATAAATTAAAAATAAGAAAAATGCACCTAGGTTTGTCCCAATTTATACACATGTGCACATTCATACCTATTTGCCTATTTTCTACTTGGTTGTCTGTGTTTTTCTCATTACTACAAAGTAAGTATTTCACAGAAGTTTCTACAATCTCTCCTTGACAGAAGTATAGGTGGATATATTTAATGGACCTGGAGCTGGGCCGCACAATTTGTAAAAAACACGACGAAGACATTGACAACTGCCCCTTGCAAGAAGGCCCAGAACAGAAAAAGGTTTGAGGATAAAATCAACCAAAATCACCACAAATCTTCAGAGAATGAAAAATAATGTCAAGAAGGGTCTATGAGAGGAGGCTTGGAAGGCCTCAGGGATGACCCTGGGGCAGAATGACAGGCCCGGGCCCCTCCCCGCCAGGTCCCAGGGCTCCCCCTATACAGAGATGCTCCCAGCACAGCAGCAAGCTGGGCCCTGTGCTCATAGCCCGGCTGGCCCACCAGAGAACCCCACAGACCCCCATGGGCCCTTCCCTCTTGGATGGAGACTCCCCGGGCCCCAGCCTCCAGCTTCCTGAGAGCTCGGGTCCAGGAGGACGCTGTTCTCCCTGTGGGCCTCTTTCCTTTGCTCCGATTCCTCTGGACAGGAGGACAGTTTAGTTTGCTGGTCGCCCCACCCCTCCCTCTGGTCTCCTGGGCGGCAAGGAGGAGTCCCGGTCAGTCAGACCGCTTGTCATCACCCTATGAACTGACATCTGGTGCACTGAACTGGAACCTTGGGGATGGGCCTCAGTCAGGGTGATGCCCTCAGGGGCTGGGGTCTCCCGGAGCCCAGCCTTGGGGCAGCCTCTCCTTGGGGGGCTTGCAGCTGCAGCTGATGGCGGGGTGGGCACATTCTGGACCATCTCCTGGGCAGGGTGCTGGCTCCCCCAAGGGCTCACGGGGCAGAGACCCTTCAGGCAG